AGTTTCAGAGCCATGCTGAACAGAATTCCACCCTGTTTGTCAAATATAGTTGTAGAAATCAGAGCTGGCTCTTGAATTGCTTGATGCAAGCTGCTTCCAACATGCACCTCTCCTCACCACTGCTCCTCTCCATAGACACTTCTAATCCAGGTCCATATGTCCACACCCAGCTAGGTCCTTCTTCCATTGATCATTCAGACACATGGAAGTTCTAGCCTCCTAAGTGTTGAGGGGATTACCCTCATCACTTGTAAGTTAATGGAGCAGATCTTTGTGCAATGAACTACCCCCTCACCATGCAAGCTCGCTCTTCTTTGTTTTTTTCTTTCCCCTCTCTGTGATGTAAACTCATTGCCAAGATAACCCTCTCCTTTCTGTGTAGGGTATGATGACAGAGAATCACAGCATTGCCATATCTCGATATGGTATTTTCCCATTTTACTTGGCATGTTTTACCTTGCATAATAGTAGCTTGCAAAAAGGCAAAAACTGTTCATCAACAGTTAAGCCATTATCACAACAGCAAATTGAACTACTTGAACTCTAGGACTAAACACCTTAAGCAAATTATATATTTGTAAACCTTGCATAGTGACTAATCCATTCTTATCACTATTACAGTATAAGAAACTAACTAGAAGAAAAAAATGTGCAGAGGACACTTAATAACAGAGGCTAATAGTGCAATGAGTTTCAGGTGTAAATTTTCATTTAAATTTATGTATAAAAATCACACTGAATTGAATTTCTTTTAGTTATGTGCATTAGTGCCTAAGTAATAATGCCCTAAAACAGAATACAGAGGTGATTAGCTCATAAGTTATTACAATAATTCTAAGCTCACTGACTAAAAAATACTACACTGTTAACCTCTTAACAGGGAGTAGACATTGTGGCAAGCAAACAAACCGGGAAAACAACGTTTTGCAACAGAAAATTGATTAAAATGTTTTTCTGAAATTGAAGGAAAGGAAGGGACTGCAAAAGCAAGTTATTCTGTGACCAAAGCTCTCTATGATGTCCTCAGCTCAACCAAAAGAAATCATTCACATTAAGAAACCCACACGAAACTGATATTACAAAAATTTGTAACACATACAGGAAAAGCTAATGCACTAAATAATATGCACATATCTGGACTTCCATGCACCCCGGGTTTGTCCATCTGTATAATGTTTCTGGTTTGGTATAGATAGATAGAAGAAGCTGTAGCAAAGACTTCAGGTGAATTGTAAGAGAAATGCTATAGTAAGATAATTATAAAAAATGTACTTCACAAGGGGATACATACTGACTCAAAGTCAATTAATATCCCAAATTCCCGCAACTGGGGAAGTAATAACTATGCTTTTATGTTAAAAAATATTCCTTTGCATTTGAAAACAAGGCCGTCTCTGAGTCCATGTAGACTGAAGCTCAATAATTCTCCATCCTCCTGAGACCACAGGGAGATTTCCTTTTCAGATCCAGCAGTGTGAGATGAAGAAATTATCAATATTACAGCTACTTTTCACCAACCTCTGTACTGAAGGTTGGCTCTTTCAGTGTTCAGCTCAGTTGCCTAAGCCACTATGTACAATAACTAGGCTTTTCAAAGCTGAATCAGGTTAGAGAGTACTACTAAAAAAATATAATAGTATGTTAATCTTTTCCTTTACCACAGCCAATCTGGAAGGAGACATCTGCCACTGCATTAATGTAACAAAGGACCAAATTCATCTCCAGAAGATTTTACAGGAAAATAATTTACATCTATTTTGTCAACAATATTTTTGGAAAGCATGACTCAGCAACTGACAGATTTCAATACAGCTCCTATTCATCATTCTTACAGGTCACCTTGCTGTGCAGATACATGTAATATATGAGGTGTCAATGATGGAAAACATAGTCTGAATCAAATCAATAGACACATTTACCGTCCTTGTTCAATTGGACTATTTTGGATGACTGACACTTCAGTAAATCCAGGCTGCAACTCTCAAAACCAGACATTTCTCTTTTTCTCAGAATGTCCTATCTCCTTCACAGACTGTCATTCCCACAATCCGAGAACAAAATACTTCATTTCAGTATCATTCAATAAAAGCACTAGAAAGCGCAACATTTCTAAGTTAGAAATGTACTGCTGATAGTGAAGTCAAGTGGGTTATCTGTTCTTATTGCATTTTCAGAGAACCAGTTGTCTCTCATGGAAAGGTAATATGCAATAAGTCAAGCATGTCATGACACAGAGATACGTGCCCAAAATCAGCCTCAAAATAGTGACAATCACCACACATAACCAGTCCTTTCTTTCAGGGAAGTCAAGGAAATGTAAAATTTAAGATACTTTCAGTTTCCAAATAGCTTCTGATACATCAGGTAGACAATTAGCAAAACTTGTCTTTTTCAATCATTTCTCTCAGACCTAGACTAAATCATACCCACAGAAATCTATGTGAA